CCACTACACAGAAACTGGCTAAAAATCCCACGCTGATCGGAGACGCAGGGAAGAACGTCAGACTGTCCCAAAAACTCCTTTATCATTTTGATTCTCCAGGCATCGTAACAAGTGTCACTGCAGGGTAAAACGTGTGAGGAAAGCCTAAACCCACCCATTTGGACCACATAACAACCTTCTCTCCTGGCCAGCAACAATACTGGGCTCCAAAAGCTCCATCCCTACCCCGCTCTGTGCTATTTCGGGGATTAAAATAAAGAGAAGGGAAACTGGTGGGATTGCTCTGTAGCAAAGGGAGTTCTCACTTGATGCAACAGTGAAATCGGTGACAACACTGGACAGCCACACCGGTGCAGCCCGTCAGGCTATAAACCAAGGTTTTCCACATTTTCACAATACCAAATGTAACGGGCACTCAAACCACCTTCATTTTCCTTTCTATCACTATGTGCCTGGGAGTTGGTGGCAAATTAGTCGAGGCCTTCGCAGACAGGTACCTATGGCTGGAAGGTCTCACGTGTCAGCGATACTGGATGTACAAGGCTGCTTAGCTTACATTTATTTGCACTAAAGAATAAGGCATTGGGCTCCTTTCCAAGCATCTTAAAAAGACAAGAAAGGAGACCTTATATACGGCTTGGGAACAGAGCCGTTGTGGCAAGAGACTGTATTATATCATTAACATTATAAATTCCATTTACAATACAGCAGTCATTTCATCCATCATTTATTCATGCAGACTAGAGAGAACGTCTTGCATTTTTAGGACCACGGTTCTGCTTATCCTGGGTATCGCTACAGGCGCCGGGCTGTGAACGAGCAGCCCAGCTCCGGCTGTTGGCTACTCTGGTCTCTCCCTTCTATAGGCAAATGTAAACCCCGGTGTCTCACCACGCTTCAGTGATGGGGTGGGGGGAAAAGACGACAAAAAAGTCTCAACTGTGAAATTACTGGGGTTCAAGTTTATTTTTTGGATCTCAGCTGGGTCTGGGAGTGTTGTTTACCCTTAATCAGTACATTTGATTACTATACATTCTTTCTTGCTCTGGAAGCACACGCTGCTCAGTGCTTCCCTAGCGTCAGTGTTTCAGCAGTGGGGCAATTCCCACCTTGCGGACTCGCAGGAGGAAGAGGCCAAGTGCCTTGCCAGCCCACACACCTCACACAGCTCACGGCCCTCCATCCGTTGGACCCAGCTGCTAATTAGTTACTGCACTCGGCTTATCTAGGAGACAGTTCTGCAAAACCACAACACCCCACCAGTAGTGGAAAGGTGAGCGTAGCCAAGGGACTGGGAGGAGAGGCTGAGGTTTTCATTATACCCTCAGCGCATGGCACAGCTCCCGTTGACGCCCTGGGGATGTCACCAGCTCTCAGCACTTCTCGGGCCCTTCCGCTATCGCCACCGCCACCCCGAGGAGCAAACACCCTCCTGCTGCGCCTCCCAGAGTGGCTAATGCCCCCGCAAACCACTGGTTTATCCGCTGGCGGGTGCGCAGACATCCAGAGACACAACTGATCCCGTCACCGCTAGTAAGCCAGCACGTACACACACAGTAAGCACAGCGCACATACGATGAAGCAGAGGTAAGAAGAAAAACTTCTTAGGCAAATACCTGGTTGGATATCATCGTTACACATACGGCTCTGGTTTGTTCTCACATTGCCATAGTTTGAAATAATATGACATGGAAAACAATTACCATAAACCTTAAAGGAAAAAGGAATCACCAGAATTATACTGTACCTTTACTGGAAAGCCTATTTCATGTACAAAGTATTAAAAAAAAAAAATACAACCAACCCACACCAAACTTTCAACAAAATATAGTCCAACACTTACAAGAGATTTTTCCCTTCTTAATGACATCAAAGACCAATAATACCACAGAGGGAACTGGTTTTGCACTGAGAATTAGGCTGCCAAGCTTGAAGGAAGCATGGAAGCATCTGCATAAAAACCTCAATACTGCTTCTTCCAGAGTTTTTTGGCACAACCTCCAATTAAACTGTTTTACATAAAGTTGTGTCGAGTACGTTTGGTTACTGATTTTTCTGACTTTAACAGCCAGGAAGGGAGAACAATCACTGAACAACCTCCTCCCACTGTCACTGGTTCCGAGATGATACGAAATGAATAAAGCAAGTCTACACTCAGCTTACCAACACAGACTGTCCATCGCTGCTCAGTATTCTATAACACACACTGGAAACAGCAGAGAAATTATGAAAATTGTACCCAATCCCTTTGTTCCCCGATGCAGATTGCATTTGAGTCATGAGAAGGGTGCTTTGGATGGGAGTTTGCTTGTTTGTCCATCTTATGGGTATAAGAGAGAGGGGGAAAAAAGTTAATTAAAACTACAAACCTACGCTGAATATGCGAAGAGGGGAGTGCTGTTAGTGCAACAACCCAAATGTATTTTTATTCAAGAATACACCATTAACGATACAGACTGATACAGTAGCAATAAGCTACCGCTGAGAGACTGGCAAGTTCAGTCAGATAAGTCTAGTGTTAAATAAGCAAAATAGTCAGAGCCTTTGACCACACATCAAAGACAATTCATAGAGAAATACAGACATTATAGGCTACATGACCTACGTCCCGTGTACAAAATACAATAAAAATGAAATGGTAAAGCAAAATTCCTTACGTCACGTGGTAAGCGTAGCTCTTGGAAGAACACGCTCTGAAACACGGATTAGGGAGAAAGAAAACTGGAAGAAAAGTTTCAGAGAAACATCCTTTTTGACAAAATTTTATTTAATGGCCAAAAAAGCATTTCCTCATTCACACTGTTGCCAGCATCACTTTATTTACATAAAGACAGTCTAAATGGCTTCCGCAGCTGTAGGAGCCTACAGCCGGTTGCAGAGTAGCAGCCTTTCGAATGTGCTAAGTAGAAACAGCAGGCAGGTCAGCACAGCGCTGCCAAGAGGAGCCAAGAGGTTTGAAAGATGACAGTATTTTTAGGTATTCCTAGTAACGGCAAAGGGAGATAACACACAGGGTATGGGCTCTGCGATGTGGGAGCGACCGAAATGTCCAGTTTGGTGACAGATTCATTCAGGCAGCCTTCCTCCTCACACAAGGTACACAACATCAAGGAAGAGTCACAGCAGTTTTAGAAGCGCGTGTACTGCTGACAAGAGAAAGTCAGGGTTCACTGAAGCATTAAGATTGAAACATAATGAATGACTAAATGAATGAATAGCTAAACAATGCCACTTCACAGGCGTCTCAAAGATTCTGCCCTATTATCTTAAAATGCTGGGTACCACGCAGCACAATGAGCTAGACCATCACAGACAGCAACTGAAAGCCTCCCAGCTGCCCTGGTTTGGTGATACCACCACACCTACAATGCCACTGGTACCAGTAAAGCACATTTGTTCTGGGCTCAGATGCATTAAGGATAAGTTTTACTGGCGATTACAGTTCAAACCATTCCCTGATGTTTTGTACATAAGGCACCTGTATTTCACTGAGCTGGATCCTGTGTATCTCTTTGGCAGCGGGTTAAAAGGACAGAGCTAACACCAATCATTGCAATGAATGCGTCGGGACAGAAACAGAAGTAAAGATTATGGCTAAATTCTGGCCAGAGAAGTCAGGCGGCTCGTTTGCTTAGGGAAAGCCACTGCCGTTATACTGGTTGAGCACAAGTCAGTCAGCAAGGAACAGCAGGATACTGCCTGCGTCATAGCAGGCTGTATTTTAACACAGATGCAGAGATAGCAACGCGGCCCACTCACAATGCACCCAACTCGTATTAACCGAGCACGCCGCTGCATTTGTGCAGGCAGAAGCACGTGAGACTACCTCCATGCAAAACTCTGTGCATGTGAAATGTTGCTCTTTACCTCCTTGAGACAGACATGTACTCCAGAAAAAAGAAAGTGATACTTCACAGTGACCCAAAAGCATTCTTAGTAGGAATAATTCCACTTCTATAGTGAAATGTTATGATTGGAGGAAGGCTTTCTTTAAAAAAGTTCATTTCCCCCCACCCCCACCCCATCTTACTGGTTATATATTCTTCATCAACGCAGTGGAAAGAATCCAGTAATAACATCTAGAATGAACTGCTTGCCATTTTTATCCCTGTAGATCTCCAAAAGCTCTATACAATGGAACTCAAGTGTCATTACCAATAAGTTTTAACTAGATCTTTGACGAAGATTCCACAATGCTGTTGATTATCTGTCACACGGGCTCACTGGGACCAAACAGACCTCGTAGGCTTTAACCTGCAGTTTGTGTTGCCACTGCAACAAGAAAAGGATTCCAACTGATGAAGCAGCAGCAAGAGCAAAACTCAAGGCACATTAGTATAAACGAAAGCTCTTCTGTTTCTATAAAAACAGGCAATAAAATATACAAAATAAGTAGAACTCTCTCCATTCAACCAACGTACATCTGCCTTCAGTCTTTCCTGAGGCACCAGTGGAGCAGGAGAAAGAATCACTGCTATCACATTTTCAACATTCACTCTTCGTTATCAAATAAATTAGACTTACTAGTGCAAAGGGAAAAAGAAGTCTTCTGGTTTTGCATTTTGGGGGTTGGTTTGTTGTTTTGGGTTTTTTGTTTGCTCTGGTTCTTCATAAAAAAATACATCACTAAGAAATTAGCATTTGCACAAGGAAACAAGAAGCTACATATCTGCCAAATTAAATCTTAAAATAACTCTGCATACTGTACAAATATACATTGTTAAACATTTACAACCTTAAGTTCCTAGATAACAAAATTCACTGCTCTTCTCAGCAATGCAGTTACCCAGCTTTTATTTTCAAAAGCTCACAGCTAGCAACTGTCAGGTGTAAAGTCCGCTTCACAGTTAGGGACAGGATAGGAAAAAGGAAAAAGATGGATCTACCGATAGTAGTGGTATCAATATAAGGAAGTTTCAGGTGTACCAAATAATTTAAAATACAGTCCTTACTAGACAGAAATCTGGGAATAGATTTTCAGTAATGAGCCAATAGTGAAGTCAGTGGGAGGTCTTTCTTCGCTTGGCACTGTTTGAGTCCGTGTTCTCTGGCGATTCCTCTGATGTTCTCCTTGTTAAAACACGATAGTCTTTGTTCCACTTACTGCTATTGCTTTGACCTCCTTCACTGCAGGCTTTTGAACCGATTTTCAATACAGAAGCTCGGGTGTCACCCTCGTGCCGAGCTGCGTAAGGTGATGTGGAAGGCATGTCACCTTGTCCCATTGTTTGCTGGGGGTTCTTAGAAGTTTTTGGTCTGGACAGCTGATCCCTGGCCACTGAGGACACATCGAGGCCTTGCTGTGATGTTGACCCTGGATTGCTCTGGGATGACCGACTGCTGTCTTTTGAGGCCTGCTCCTTCCCTTTGGTTTCAGTTCTACTAGCCATACTTGCCAGCCTTGGGTCCCGTGGTTTCTCTCGATCAGCAGAAAAAAAAAGGGGTCGGGAGGCGCTCCCGCTCCTGGAGTCTACAGCCTGAGCCCCCTGTGGCTGCTGGGGCCTTTTGCTTCCTTGGGCCGCTGGATGGCCAGCACCAGCGGCCAGTTCCCGTGGGCTGCTGGCCTCCCTTGGATTTGCAAGCTCACCCTTCACATTACTGGAAGAACAAGCCTGCAACACAGGTTTCTTTGTCCCTGCTTTGGTTGGGAGCTGTACTGTTGGCTTAAGCTTCAAAATCTTAAGAGCATCTTTCCTGTAGCTTTTGTCTGATGTCTTGATAATGGCACCCCTTTTCTGAGCGTCCTGAATCAACTCATTCCAGTCTTTATTTTCCTTTAAAAAAAAGAAAAAAGACACCGCCCCCCCCCAAAAAAAGAAAAGAGTTATCAGAGAGAAATCAACACAAAAGGACAGAGGTGTCAGAGGATGCACAACCTCTTTAATCAAGGTACCTGACACAACTGTCATGGAAACCACTGTTATGTTCCTTCTGGAATGGAAGAATCTTATGTTTCACTTGCAAAACAGCAATAGGCACTCTGGCTGCTGTAACACAGGGAAGGTACTTTCAACCATCAGTGAGCTACTACTTAAAACGACAATTTCTATATTTATGAAGGCCAGAAGAGTTCTCGCATACAGAGTGTGAAACAGGAGCGTGGCTTTAATGCCCTCTAGTGGTGTAGCTAACACCCCCCACCCTTGGAAAGAATAAAAATCAAGTACTGCAAGACACTAAGTCTATTCAAGAGCACTCCCTACACATTCAGTGGGCCTTTATAGTTCCCCAAATGGGCAGTTCTGTTTCAGAAGTACCTGTTTCAAAAGAGTACAAGCAAAGAGTATCCTCAGAAACCACATGACTACACAAAATAGTGTCAAAACCAATAATACGAAGATCAGGGAAATGTTTTGGGATGGTTGGGTGTTGGGTTTTTTTTAGTAATTTTCCTTGCTCAAGTATCCACTGACAACTGCAATAACTGGAGCAACAGTAAGGATCAAGCACGAAATGATCTCTGCCATCATCCTATCTTGTGCAGGTAAGATTTTTCACAACCCCCACACCTGAATTGTAAAGAACTGTGTTACAATTTAGTTACTAAAAATATTGAGAGTAATTTCTAACTTGCCTTCTTGGAAGCAAGGAAAATAATACTGATTTGGGGTTTTTTTAAAGCTTGTAAGACAGTTACAGCCAAAGCTTTCAAAGAGAACCCTTCAGAGGCCTGGACTGTGCTAATTTAACAATACACTAGAAAAGGGTCCCCTCAGACTGCAGCAGTCCAAGGATGGTTTTCACTTCCCCAACCCAACTTGACCTAAAAGGGTGGATCACAAAAGATCATTTGATTAACACTGTACCTACCCTGAATGTTTTCAGTCTTCCAAGGATGAAGAGGCTGTATCTGGCTCGAGTAATTGTAACGTTCAGACGCTGAAGATTTGCCAGAAACCTAGGTGACAAGACAAAACTAAGCTCCTAAACTAGACTTCCACAAGATTTAACTGTACGAGAGAGATACTATTCAATTTCAGTGAAATGAAAATAACAGAAGCAGTTACAAAGAAGGCAGCAGTTCATGATCCATTCCCAGATCCCACTGCAGCAGCCCTGCCTTACATGAAGGGCTTTGCATGAATTGTGTTCTTTCTTTCACCACTCTGATTCCTTGCAGGGAATTCCAGTTCTTTCCAGCTTGATGTTTCCTTTCTTAGAGCAAATCCCCTCTTAGCGCCAACCACTGCTTCCTTAAGTGTTCCTCAAAGTACAGAAGACATCAACCTCACTTCACCTATCAAGACCTTAAGCTTCTTTTTGTCTTGAACTGAAATAGATTAATAATATTTGGCATGATTAATGGGAAAATTTTCTACTGAAGTACTGAACGTTGGACATGAATATTTCATTTTAAAGGTGACCTGCAGTAGAAGCACATGAAGGAAGACTTTTGCTTTGTCATGCTTCAAGAGTGAAATGCATATTCCCTGCAGAAGAAAGTTTTCATAGTCCAAACATAAGACTGTCTAGTCTGTTTTTGTGGGGTCACAGATCAAGGTACTGAAACCTAAGCCAACAAATGCTTAGCCAGTTCTTAAAGGTTGATTTCTGTTAGGGCTTGTTTACCAAAACTCAAAAAAAAAAAAAAAGGCTCGTTAAACCAGTATCACCTATTTCTTCTCTAATGAAAAAGCTCCCAAAATGCATAGGTTGTTCTATACTAACAAAGTTTGCAATAGAAAGTCAAGTCTTTGTACAACTCCATTTGAACAGGTCTAACATCAATGCCTGTTACTGTGGCTATGGTGTTGAGACCTGCTCTTCTCAAATTCACAGCCCCTGCAGTAAAGACTGCAAAAGCCCCAGAGCCACCCCAGAAAATTTGGGCACTGCAAGAAAGAAAAAAAGGATGAGGTAGAAAGCAGACTGCGGGAGTGGATCCAGCAGGACAGATACTACAGTTCTCTAGGTCTTGGGGCAGGGGGAGGAAGGGATCTTGAAAGACTGCTAAATATTCCTAACAGCTTTTAAACCTGAAAGACGAGCAGATTATTTTCTCAGGAAAGGAAAAAAAAAAAATTAAAAAAATCTGCTGTTGTCCTTTCTTGGAGAATTTTCTCCTCCCTTTGCAAGTTACTTTCAGAGTAAATCTAATGCTGGACTAGCAGCTTTGGAGACCAAAATATTTTACTCAGCTACAAGATCATAGGTAAGGGTGATGCAAACTTTCCCATCACACCTTGCCAATGACACCAGACCCTGAAACAGAAGTGTCCGAGTCATCAGTATGTGCAGCTTCTAAGACATTGCATGGCCAAAGCTTTTAAATATAAACCTTCAACACAGTAAGCTGGAAAGTTTTCTTCCAAAAGAACAGATAGCAGTTAAGTCCCATGTCAGCCAAAAGAACTGGCAGGCTCTAGCTGCCTTCAGTTTCCAAACTCAATCAACCAGATTAAGAAATCTCCAAAAAGCATCACTGTTTTTATTATAGGATTTGGATTCTCACTCTTCCCAAAGTAGCATGGATCAGCACGATTAAAAGCCCTTTATCTAGCAATTAGAAAATCAGTATCAGTAGATATAAGTAGCTTACTGAAACCTGCTATGCAGAAACAAAGACTTCTGTTTGTGCAAACAGGCTTCCCATAGTTTGACTTAAAAGCCAATTAACTATAAGAAGGCACATTTCTATTACCTTTTTTAAATTAAAATGATCAGTAAGTTACAGACCAGTAAGTTAAAGACCACTGCTGTAGCAGTCTGGGGGTGAACAGCACACCCAGTATCTAGCTCCTTCTGTTTCAGACAGGAAAAATCCATCTAAAATTATCAAATTTGCGATCTTGAATCAAGACTTCCCGCAAACCTCCTAATTCAAAAGACAAGCACATTCACCTACAAATCAAAGATTCGGCTCCTCTGTATCACATTCCTAGCAACATATGTATCTAGTTAACAATACTTTTACAGACAGAATGCTGTATTAATGGGATAGCAACAGTCACAGAGAATGGATTTCATTTTAAGAGAGCAGCATTCAGAAAGTTACAACATACATCAAAAGCTACAAGAAAAATAACTGCTGCAGTACTAATGCAAAGAGCCAAGTTCCCAAGACCAATCCTGCCAAACTGAAACCGTGACAAGCTAAGGCATCCATGCAAATTCATCAGCATTCAATGCAGAACACAATGCTGAGCATTTCCATGTCCCTTTTGTTCAGAGATCTCAAAACAGTAACTTTAATTCACGCATTAAGATACACTTTAATTTGCTGGCAGTCATGACTTGTTCTCTAATACCTTTCTTACTGGTCATATTAAAAAAATAATGACTATCTAGAGTGTCACTGGAAATGGGATTTGCAAATCACTGAAGAGAAACATACCCAATTGACCCTTTAGCATCATTTGCCCGGACGCATGTCACTATGATGCAGTCTTTCTCTCGTCCCTGGAATGCATCCACTGTGTCCACTTCTCCTGGGCTGTTGAAGAAAGAATTAGCAAGCTATTAAATTATGTTAGTTCCATTTTTAAGCAACACACTGATGCAAATAGTGTAAACACCATCCTTAGTGATCAGCTGTCAAAATAACCCAGAGTAAATTTCTGCTTCAATGTATGAAAAGATTCAGTGTATGAACCTAAAGCTACGTTTGCTTTTCTGAGGCCAGCATCACTGTTGAAAAGTTGTTCAGGCCCATGTAGCTTGGAATTTTGGGTTTTCTTTTAAATCAGCTTTATTCAGAACAGCAATATAATCAAAGCATGTACGCAAGTAATAACTAAGAAACGATACAGAGGCCATGCCTGTTTTAAGCAAAAGGTTTGCATGCCCCCTTTAAAGGGATGATTAAGTAGCCCCCTTTAAAGGAATGATTAAGTACAGACTTCAGTAGTGCAGAAAAAAGTTTGAGCTGTTGCCACTATGTTAAGAGAATAAAGGACTAACATGCAAGAGCCAAGTCCCATTCAAAAACTCATGGTTTCTTTACCTGTTATTCTTAAACACTCTGTCCAGTTGTTCTTGAATTTTCTTTTTCTGTGCACTGTAAGGGGTAATTATTCCAATACGACGAAGACCCAGATCCTTCCTTTTTTCTTTAATTGTTCTAATTAATTCCATCACCAGCTTCACTTCCTGAGGATTACTAAAAGAGCTGAACAAGACAGAATGGAAACATTACAGAAATGCATTTGACAGCTCTTTCAGATTCAATACTTCAGCCCACTTTGTAGGGGGATTGCGAGTTAAAGCCCCTGTCTTGAACTTTTGCAGCCTCCTTCACGTAGAGGCTCAGAGAACTTTGCAAGCAGGCCGTGAGGAGCGGCTAACAGGAGAAGTGTTAGCAGTGAAAGGCTGCACTTAATGTTCCCTTAAACCCCGTAGCTTTGCTTTCCTTACAAAATAGGCAAAAGGGAGGACTGAGCCTGCCACCTTCTGGCATTACCTCAGCATGCAGCTGTGAAAGGAAAGTCACCGATAAAAGAATAAATCAGGAACTCAGAAACTGTTACTGGAGTTAGCAGACACTGTAGGCATCTAACAGATAGTCAAACCAGGACCAAAACCAGTTTCAGGTGAAAAAAAATCCCAACGCTTTACATATGCTTTTAGTAAATAATTTCTTTGTAAAATTCAATCTAATCAACTTGAAAATGCAGTTCTGGCTACTTAATGCATATTGGGAAGAATAACGGAGAGGACAACTCTTCTGCAGGTAATTAATTCTCAGCAAATCTAAAGTCTGGCAGAGTAGAATGCAGGACTTACTCATTGTCTCGCTCCTCACAACCATCTCCTACATCAAAAATAAGGTAGGGCTGGAATGGCCATTCTGGAGAACATCGGTTCTCTTCTGTTGCTCTGTAAATAACATTTTTATCACAAGGTAACCATATAGAAATTCTAAGAACTGGTACTTCATTTATTTCCACCATGGTTATCAAACACAAGCAACTTTCAGTTTTTCCAAAGTCATTAATTTTCACTGGTACCTGCATATCCTGAGGCCTGAAAACTTTTTTCCAAAGTCATTAATTTTCACCGGTACCTGCATATCCTGAGGCCTGAAAACGAACTCTAAGCAGTAAGTACTCAATTTTAAGTGATCTAGTTAACTTACGTATAACAGTTGGCCCTAATAAGACATGAAATGCAAGTTTTCTCCCATTAAGCATCTTACCCTCCCCATCACCTCAGGAATCTTTAGACTTAAAAGAATATCCTGATGTGAAAAGGCTTCTTTGAAATATTCCCCACTCAGAAAGCAGAACAGAGGCTGACCTGTCAGTCTTTAGAGTCCTGCCATAAACATAATTGGACGGGAAGAGGCAGATGTCAGGGTGCATCCTGTACTGCACAGTCAGCTGCACAACTGGCAGGCTTCGTAAAACATTCTTCTGCACTTGCTCCTCCAGGTGTCTCTGCAGACGTGCCATCAAGGACTGATCGTAGCCATATTTCTGAGCTGTCTGCCAGAGGAAAAACATGAGATTGGCTTCTGGGGAATTAGGTCCCAAATTAAGAACAGGAATTTGCTTTTTGGACTTAAAACTATTTGGTATTTTCTTTTAAACTTCTAAATGACTGACAAAATGACAACTACTTGCATTAGTCTTCTATTTGTGTGAGTCTTACTATTTCAGTAGAGTTCACCTGCATAAATCTGAATATTTGTCAGTGTAGTCTTCAGCAAGACAGCTTTCCTTTGTGAGTCACAACATAGTAAAATTTTAAAAACATCAACAACAATAAAAGGCAAGATTTTCCAGGCGGGATCTTGTTAAACAAGCACACAGCCCCCAGAAAATTTACCCTTCTAGAGAAGCCAGCCCGGCTTTCCTCCTTTCTTTATTAGATGTTTACAACAGTCCTCCTTACAATTGGACACAAGAAAGTGCTCCTACATGTTACCCCACAGAACACATCCATAGGGTGAGGAAGTCCCCATACAAGCAGGTCATGTTCATCCTCCATTCCTTAAGGAATGTGACACCAACAGAAGCTCAAACGATGAAGTAACAGAGCCTGCCACAGCACAGCATCAATCACAAACAAAGTGCCGAGTTACACAGAAGTTTGTGTTACTATAGCTATTCTCAACGGTGCATGAAATCAGTTTCAAGCCACACCAGGAGAGTTTATAGAGGTTACACTCACACACCTGTGTTAGTTTAATTCACACATTTGAAGGCAGTATTGATATGGTCTCCACATAACAGAGACTAAAACTTGGCAGGGCAAAAGTTATTATCTGATACACATCATGATCTGACATTGAAGTGTCTTTTTTCCTTTCATACATATTTTCTATAGATATTGTTCTTATACTTTATCCAGTATATAGCATTAAAAAAATACAGTTTGAACACTTACCATCGATTTTACAGTAGGAGGAAGCTGTTTGGGATCTCCAACAAGGACAAGTTTATTACAGCGATGAATCAGTGGAATCAGTGTTTCAACTTCACAGGACTGCCCTGCCTTTTGTATACACAAATAGGACAAAAAGTAGAAGTTGTAAGCAAAGGAAGTATATTAAATTTCCTGTAACGGAGCCAGAGTAACTCAGAAATGCTTTTTAATGCTTCTGGGGAAAAAAAAAAAAAGAGCGAGCGAGAGAAAGAATCTTTCCCAAATGAAAAACTCCAACCATCTGGAAAACTCTACAGCGAGAACCACACTTTAGCCATGACTTTTAAGTAAAAGCTGTCTGCCAATAGAGCACCAAACAAGTCAAAAAGAGAAGCAATTAAAAGTTATTCTTTCTTCTTACAGCTCTACATGGCAGGACAGGATGGTTATCAGTTAAAAGGTGGGGATGGGACAGTCAAGCCACAATATGTTACACCAGCAGGCAACAATCACAAGTAGCTTAAGCAGAGAACAAGGCAGACCTTTAGAGGTGGAACATGCTGTAGTTCTAAATAGCTTTACTGACCTCATCCACAATTACACAGCTGAAAGGATCAAGACCTTGCCGCCAAAAAGCAGATTCCAGCAGACTTCCTCCACTTGTGCTCAGTGTGCAGCAAATGATGTCGGACTCCAAGATGATATCCGTCTGTACTTTCTGAGAGTGGCCCCGAACCTTCAAGTACAACAGGACACCATGTCTCCTCTTCTCTTTTAGTGTTCTTGAACCACCTTAGAGCAATTTGTAACTGTCTGGACAAGTCTAACAGCCAAACAGATCACGCAGAATACATCATCCCAATGAAACTATCTCCATTATCACAAATGAAAGTCAACAGTTCGCTTAGCTGAAGTGATACTCACTTTAAATTACATCACCTTTGAGGAGGCAAACTGGAAAGAAGTATTCCTGTATCTCTACAGCTATGCAATCTAGACACAGCAACTGTGAGCAAAGTTTAGTTTGCCATCGCATTTGCGACTCAAGCCTCCATAACCATTAAGAGTCAGCATATATTTGTTAAAGCTGAACCTTCATTCATATCGTGGTTCATCCTGCTCAGCCTTAATTACTCATTTTGCTATCAGTGCCTATTTCTACTTTCAACCCTCTCTCTTTCAACAGGCACACAAAAATGTTCCAGCTGTTGCTTTACTTAGAAACATTTAAAAGTATCTCAAACCCAGTAGGATTGTAAGGGGCATGAAAGTGGTGATGAAGATACATCCTAGAACACGAGGACATGCATGTTTCTATTATTTCTTTGCTAAAGATACATTTCATTTAAAATTAACTGTAAGTGTGAATGTTCCCACCTGGGTTTTTTTGCAATATGCAGTCAGAGTACACCTGGATTTCACACCAGGCTGTCCATAACTTACTCAGCTCATGGTCTTTATATATTTACCTACTACTTTAAAAATACTCCCGGCCGCATCAAAACCAGATCTCCACCACAATTAAAGCATACCTAGTATATAAATAGATTAGTTGAGGTTTATTAAAGAGCTGCCCTAAAGACAAATTCCTACCTCCTTTAGTTGAGAAGCAAGCTGCTGTCTCTCCTTTGAAAGCCTGCCAATTTCATCATCTAACATTTGACTCTAGATGGGGGTCGGGAGAGAGAAATAATATCAGGAATAATTAACATACATTTCCCATATACCATTTTTCCTCCCATACCCTAATTCATTTACTGAACATTTGGATTTGTTCAGATAGTCTTTTAATATCAAACATGTCTGAAAAAGCAGATCAGTTTCTTAGGAAATGGTCAATATATTTAGACTTTCCACACACAATACTACACTCTGCATTTCTGTGCAACTAGGAAAGTGGTTTACCATCAGAAATCTGTAATTTGAGCACCAATGCCAATTTTTTTGACAAAAAAATGGAAGACTTCAGTGCAACACACATCCCAAAACCCCAGATGTCAAGGTATCTTACTAGTTCCAGTTAAGGAAAGCTTTGAAGGACAGAAGTTAAATCATTACATTTTATAAATATGCTTACACTGGTGATAGAACCAAATGAAGACTACTGAACACTAGAGCAAGAAGTGGCATGATGGACCTGCTGAAAACAACATTACAAAAAGACAAAAAGAAAAATACCCTGATGTAAAGTCCCTCATTCCCTTTCACAGTGCTAACCAACATTTCCATTAGTTGAAAAAGCAGGTGAAGAGACAATTACTGCTCAGAGATGGCATTAAAAGGAAGAGTTCTTTACTCTTTGTATTGTTATGAATACAAAAAAAAACCCACAAACAAGATTAAAAATACTATTATCTTATTACCTCCCTCTTCTCACATCTGTGCATGGCACGCTGACGAGACAGCATGTCCAACTTTTGATCCAGAGCTGCTTTTTTCTTCTGAATATCCTGGTCATAGTCAGATGGCTTTCTTTCTATAATAAAACGAAGACAAACATACAGGAAGAATAGAAAAACTATGTTACAATAACACTTGCTCTCAGTCATGCATCTTAAGTTATTAAGAACAAATGGAAAAACTCATTTTTTGTTGCATTTTAGCTTTTTCTATTGGGGTCTTATCTTGTATAATGAAGACAACGAAGCTTGGTTCCAACTGTAGCTCTCAAACACTGCATAGCAACACTGCTTAAAAATGATGGCTTTGACATGGATTTATTAGAATTTCTTTTAAAAAAAAAAAAAAAAGCAGCCAAACAAGAAGTTGTCTTGCTTATTTCTTTGGTTTTGCTTAGATTTTTTATGCCACATGTAAGCTGACACTTTCCCACTAAGACAGAAAAACAATGCTTATGAAGCCCCATTGCAGAAAAATCTTTTACCACATCTTCCTTCTTAAAGGACACAATCTCAGGTGTAAAGCATCCTCAAGTTCTTAAACAAGACTGAAGAAAAGTCCAATTTGCATGTTACTTACTCATTCTATGTTCCACTTGCTTATCCAGGCTAAATCCCCGGACTTCACTGTTGATTGCCTTTTCAGCACCAAGTCGCACTAATTTGATATCACCACAGTTTCCTGTTTACAAAATCAGAGTCAAAATACTTTTAGATTGCTCCAACCATCTCTTCTCTCTGGTACGAGAGAAGAAAAAATTAAACATCATGGATAACAAACAAATCTTCTCCTTTTCTGCTTTTCAGGGGTTTGCAACAATTTACCTGCACTTAGCTAAACACAGCCACAAAAAGATTCAGTAATTCCAAGCTCTAAAAAAAACAGACATCACCTATGTTTTAGTAGTGGCTAGCAGTTAAGAATGTTATTTTGAATTAACAGAACCACCTCTTATTCTCAGGCTTCTTTATCTAAAACTTACAGGATTCCTAAGTTAGAAAATTACTGAGTACCATCAGTAACGCAGCTGGTAAATCAATACCAATTTAGCATTTGGTTACAATGTAGATTTTTCCCTATCACAGACCACATGCCTTGTTCAGAATTCATCTACTTTGTATTAGTCACAAACTAGGCGGAAAAAAAAAAAACTGAGAGGCTCTGAGACATCAAAATTTTCATCAGTCTCTTTAGCATCAGCAGCGAAGTCTGATTTTATTCAAAATCAAGGTAATAGTCTTGCATTCAAGCCTTTAAGGAGTACTTAACTGGTGAACTGAAACTAACATTATGAAGAAAGGGTCAACGTCTATATAAAGACAAAGGCCAATTTATTTAGAAAAAACATAATACACCTTTTAGAATAGCACATTAAAATTAATAACAGTATGAGGATGTACCAGTTATGTTCTGCAAGAGAAAAAAGCTGCTTAGAGTAGCATACAAGTATTATATGTCATCAACTGTTTCAGTTTCTCCTTTAGGTTTTGTCTATTTAATATGTAAACAGAATTTTAAAATAAACCATACCCAAAGGCTCCTGTCTGTTTTGGCATTTTTCCTTAAACGCAACGATGATCTTTTTCATGAGTTCATCTACAGCAGCATTTGATGGTGCACAAACTAGAAAACGGTTTGGCTTGATCTTGGAATTTGTTTTTTGAGTTGCTTTCTCATTCCTAGTGTTCTGTAGATTAATTAACAATAAACCAAAATAGTCTCTTTAGATTATTGTAATTTGTGATTTAAAAGCCAGACTGTACGCTCATGTTAATCAGCATGCAGAGTATGAGGACTATTGTACTTGACTATCTCTTAAGGTATGCTTTACACTGAGTAACAACAAGTCAAATGTATTAATACTATTTCCACAAATTATGTACTTGATGAATCTACAGGACGCTAATATGAAAACCATTAAATGGGACAAGCCAAATAACATTTTTTAACACATCAAAATATTAAGGGTTTCTTTTCTGTATCAAGTGTTTATAGTACTGATTGTGCCCGTTTTCTTGATTTTACTTTTTAGTAAGTGCTTTTAAGTAAGTGTTTTCCAAGATGCCCAAAAGCTCTTATTTCTACCTTTACACCCTATACAGTACATATTTAATTAGGTCAGCTTAATGAATTACAGCCCCGGTAATTACTAATACTACACTTCCATTTAGCCTAAGCTGTCATTCACTTCCATTGAGATACCAAACACCAGCACAGGACAATCACATCACGTTCACTTACTTCTCTCAAAACACGAGACAGAAGTCCAACAATAGTTTTTGATTTCCCTGTTCCAGGTGGTCCATGGATGAGGCAGATCTTGGGAAGCCCTGGATGTTGCTTTACCATGGCATAAGCCGTCTCAATGGCTCTCTTTTGACCTTCATTGTATTCATTCATATCCGATGCCTGAAGGAACAGTCAGGGGAAAAAAAATAATGAATGAGTTAATGTTGATCAAACCTTCTGTGCTCATTTTATGTATTTTCAGAATGTCCCCCGCCCCTCTAGCTATGACTAAAAAACTTTACGGGCATGAAAGCTTTTGATTTTAAGTTTGCTCTAGAGACACACCCAATCCTGACTCGAAAGCTGTAGCGAAAGTTTCATTTACTCTATACACCTTTATTTTGCATCACCTTTTCCATACTACACCTTAGTTCCTGAACAGACACCTCTCCAGTAAGGAAAAAAAACCTGAAAGCTGCCTAAAGTGCACTACTAGTATCTATGTCAATACAGCAGAAACACCTGAGCATATTCAGATCCATCTAATCAATGAACTCTGAAAGCACAGTGCCTCATTGCTTTTAGAACTTGTCTGTTTGCACTTGGTAATCTCAAAAAAACAGCATGCAAAACCAGTTTCGCAAAAATGAACTTATGAGATCCAAATGCCAACTCTGTCATCTCCAGCTATCACTTTTCGCTGCAGGAACTTACAGCACTTTCTGAAGTTACAGGCAAATCTCTGGGACAGAAGTCACTGTAACTTGGATTTATGATGGGTTTAGCCAGGGGACTCCGGCTCAATAGTAGCAGACCTTTGAATGTTCGGTGTGTGGTCACCAGGGAGCCGACCACCACACACTTCACTTGCTGATTTATGAAGAATGACAAATTGCCTCGAGTTTGCACAGAAAGATGACAGACGGTATGCTGCTCCTTTTGTCCTAATAAAAGAAGGGGGAGAAAAAAAACAAACCAAAAATCACAAGTTGTTAATTCCAAGAATATCCAAATTGTTAATTGAAAGATATTCAAACAGGTCACTCAAACAATTCAACAGAACCAGGTGCTGCCTTCTGTTAAAGAGCTAACAACTAATTCTTGCAAGAAACCCAAACCCCTTCCCCCCGCCCCCCCCAAAAAAAAACCCAAACCAAAATAAAACCACCCAGTGCTCTGCAAAACAACTCAGATCACCGTTTTAATTAGGCAGCATTAATCTTGATACTTGGTAATCCTGGTAATTCACAACTTCAGTTCCTGAAGACAGTGAAATTTTTAGTCAGTCACTGAAGTTCATGGCACTTCATATCTTACACCAATGCACTCCTAAAGATGTATGCAGAGCACTTACTCATTATTAGTTTCTGTTCTTACACAAAGTATTAACGTCTGTATTGTCCCTAGAAAAACACATGGAAAGGAGATCTGCAGCTTCAGTTCCTGGCTTTTTACGAATCCTCTAGCATCGAACAGACATGCTGCAGTGGAAAAACAACCCCATTTCCTCTGAGGTAAGCTGTATGCTACAACAAGCGACAGTCAGCTATGAAGAAGCATTTTACAGTACCAAGAAGAATCCCACTTTTATTTCAACCCCATTTACTTACTAGTTAAACAGCCAGACGCACGAGAAAATCGTGTCACAAGACCAACGTGACTCACTATATGGTTCTCCACCTCACTTTCCTCCCTAAAGGTGTCTTTTTTCTTTTGGACCACCAAAAAGATTACGTCGTCCTCCTTTGGATGAAGCTGCTTTGCCAAATCACTTTCTTGAAAGTGAGCTACCCAAAATACATTTTAAAATGAGAACATTAAAAGGAAAATGGTTACAATTACTTTCTGACTATACCGTATAGAAGACTATACTGCGATTAACATATTGCATATGCTTCAATAACACCCATCTTTTAAAGCTATTAAAAGCTATAGCAAAAAAAAGACTTAAGAGTTTTAACTCCACCTTGCATTCTTAAGCCTGAACAAAATAGAGCAAGTCGAGAACTATTTTATTTACCAAAAGAAACTGAAACAAAATGCCAAATGAGTGAGATGGAAAGTATTCCAACAGCAATCAAATAACCTTTTGTACTGAACACTTAGGGTGCAAATTCCCTGCAAAATACAAACTTCTGCTTTGTGCAGTCTGTAAAATAGCAAATTCAATCTCCTTTCTGTATTTAAAGCAAATTAAAAAAATTTCTACCTGTAAGCGCTAGCTCATTATAAGGCACTGTCTACTTGGAAATTAAATGAGGGATTTATAAAAACAAAACAAAATCCCCAAAAACCCAAGCAAAACACCCCCACAAAACTCTTACCTGTAAAGTCTGCTGCATTCGAGTCAGCACTGAAGTTCTGTAAGTAGAAGTAGTAGTAACCCTTCTCTCTTACTCTCTGCTTTTCTATCCACTCTTGTGCCAGCTACATGTTGGAAAGTAAAAGCTAAATAAAAATACTTTTAAAGGTTTAGTCTATCAAAAAAATAACATATCATGACTCAAAGGGCAAACATAGCAAAAATAAAAGAAAGCTAACACACTGTCAAGTACAAGACACTGAAGAGTCTTACTCCTTTCTTTTTTTAACATATGCATACACATTACATATAAAAAACACACAAGGCAAACAAAAGTGCTTCCTCCCCAGCCACCCCCCATTTAATGTACTTTCTCACAAAGCTCTTCGAAACAAATGCAGGTTCCGCCTGCCTTGCATTTTCACCTTAAAATACCAGTATTATCGGTATTGACTTCATTTTCTACCTTATTTCTGGGGTAAAAGCGATGCAATGACCAAACAGGAAAGCATACAGACTTTAATTGAAGGAACATATTTTTTTTCACTATTAAAGTTAAGCTGTTTGGGAAAAAAAAGTACTTCTCGGGTTATCCTACCCTCTCACAAAAGTTCTCAACATAAATCAAAACATTACATTCTTATCCTCATTTTACAGACACTGTCATTGAAAGACCTCCATTTCTTAAACGAAGATTTCTCTTTTAAGCTTTATATGCTATAAAGAAAGAGGAACCACATCCTTTTTCCCTCCCTTTGCATGCTACTGTGGATAAGCACCAAAAAAAAAAAAAGCTTCACCGAGATGAATAACACTGACAGTCCCCAACCTTAAACATAACTGTCTAGATCCTTTCCCCCAATTCATTCCTCTATTCAGGTCTGCAGCTGAACATTTTCAGAAGGTAAACAGAGGACATAAAGCAGTTTTTAATCTCTTGGTAAAATTTACTAGGGTTGATGAAAACAAACCAAGAGGCAGACAGCTACTTACTGTTTCAAAGGCATTTAGCATCATCAAGGGGAAAAACGTATTAAAATAGTCATTGTATCCCTGAAATTGGACAGGAACAGAGGCTACTACAGACTGCAGGAGACTACTTGGAGGTCCAAACTGGCTGGAGTTTGCAAACATTTCGTAAGTCCACTTTAAGACTTCATTAACAAAAATACGATGATCACGCTGGTGAGCGCCAAGACAGGAAGAATAATATGCTTCTCGGGCAGGCCTTCTGGAAATATTTGAAGCATTGTCATTCTGTCTATTTTGTGACTGGAGAACGTTTTTAGGAATACAGGCTTGAGGTACATTACTGAAACTAGGCAACTTGCATGTTTGATTCCCTATTGGTATGGCTTTTGCATTCGGTGGCCTGGCCACCACCGGTTTTGCTGCATTCACTTTGCTTTTTGAAGCTGGTGGTAGCTTTTTACCATCTTCGAGATCCTTGCTGAAGGCTGCATTCCGTGAAGAACTTGCAGAGCTGAAAATTTTGGTAGTAGAAGGCTTTCTCATTTTAGAAGGTGGCAGGAGAGAAGGTTTGGCAAACAAGTCATCACCTTCTGAGCTGGTGGCTGAATGCTTACTACAGTACTCTCCTGGTTTTTCCACTTTTTCTGTACAGTCTTCGTACTTACATTTCACAACAGTCGAGGATTCATTCTGCTGAAGGCTTTCAGCAGTATCCATTTCCTCAGGTTTCTTACTAGCTATAATAATACCTTGAACACTTTCCTCCTCCAAACATAATTCCATATCCACAGGATCTAGCTGAGTTAAAAATAGATCATCATCATCTTCACTGTTTTCATTTGGGTTACACCCATTTTCTTTTGAAGTTGTGTTCTCACACTTAGGCCGGACAATGGAACCTTTTCCTGAAGGTTCATCTTTATCATCTCCAACAAGTGAAGCGGAAGAGAGACTTGAATCCATAGGTACAGGAGGAGCCAACATACTGTTACCCTCTGATTTTCTGCTCGAGTCTGAAGAACTAGGCGTTTTAGAGAGACATGTCTCTTCCTCCGCAGAGAAAATTTCAGATTTTCTCTCATCAGCAGAGGGAGAGTCAGTCTCCTCTCTTTTTTTCTCTCTTTGGTTTTCAACAGATCCCAGTTGAAAACCGACAGGCTTTTGTCTCATCGATTTTGCATCCACTTTGCTAACTTTTTTGTTTCTATTCTCAGAACGTCCTGCAAGATTTTTCACTTTGTCGCTTTTTTGGGGCCTTGTCTGCCTTAAAAACTGAAGGTCTTGGCAGGCCAGAAATTTTTTGTTATGTTTTACAGACAAACTTTGAGGAGCAATTGGTTTAATCTTATGTTTCTGTGCAACTCTCCCTGCAGCTTTACCATAGCTGCGCAATTGAGCTAGACTCTCCAAAGAGCGCTGGGATAATTCATACGCTTTGCGGGGTGCCTTCTTCAGACCAAGTTTTTCTACAGTTGATGCCGGTGCAGGACACTGTCTAATTTTCCTTGGAGGAACAACAGCAGGCATTGACCTGCCAGGCTGAAAATTTTTTACTGTATTTTGAAGTATTTTTTTATTTTGTGCTGGTTTTAGAACAGGAAGTTTCTTAGGACTTCTCTGAATAGTTTTTGCTACCTTAGATTTTGCTATATTCTTCCGTGGGCTTGTGCTATTTTTCTTAAGCGCCAACTTTGAAGCTAATGAGATGTGAGATGTAGATGCTCCGGGTTCAGTCAATTTTGAGTCCAGAGTGATGTCTTTAGCAACAGCGCTTTTGTCTGCAAAATTCTCCAGTTCATCTTTTGCATTTCCCTTACTAACAGATTCTTCTAATGTTGAATTAGTTACTACTTTTGTATTATCAGCTTCGTTCTGATGAGAAATATTTTCTGTTTGCTTTTCTATCAAGTTTGCTCCTTCTTCCATGGTTTCATCATCCATGATGAAATCCACATCATAACCCCATTCATTTGTGTGATCCTTCAGTAAGCCATCTAAATTGCTACTATCAACTGATGTTGAAACACGATCTTGTTTATACTCTTGAGTTGGTTCTGTACTATATGCTTGAGTATCTTGCCAAACTGAGCAGACATAATTTTCTGTTTCAAATTCAAAGTACTGAGACTCACAGTCTTCCAGTGACAAGGGAGAGCTCGGCCCTGTCTTTGATTCTAATTTGGTATTACTATCAGAAATGCAGCTGGAAGTTGAAGGCTGCTTTTCAGGACACATGTTTTCATTCATTTTTTTTGTTTCCTCCTTGTCAGCCACATCACCTTCTTCATCAGAAGAGTCTGAAATTATAATGACTTGATTGTCAAGACAATCTGCATCACAGGGAGACTTGGTACTTTGGCCATCATTGGAAGATCTTACAGCACCTTTCACTTTCCTTTTAATATCACATACATTATGATGTACTGAGCTTTCTTGGCTTGAATCAAAGGAAAAATCAACACTTTTGGCATATGCAGCTAAAGATAATTTACTGAGTTCTCTGTCAACCTGGGAGTCTGCTAAAGCATTATCTTCAGAAACCATCTTCACAAAATCCTCCTCTTTCTTCACTGAACTGTTTTCTCTCTTAAAGTATTTTGAAAATTTGAACAACCTGTCACTTGATTCACACTTCACTGACAGTGGCCTGATCTGAGAAGCAGGGTTGGATAGATCCCTCTGGTTTTCAGAGCTAGATGGAACATGACCATTTGCTGAAGTTTTATCCATACAGAATGTCTTTGAAATTTGACCTTTACAGTCATATTTAACCAAGTCATTTAAATCAGGCTGTTCCCGGTCTGAAGTTCGCAAGTCGGGTTCTGTCTTAAACACAGACTTCAACAACGGACTTGATTTTTCTTCAGTGGATACTTTTTTCAGTAAGGTGTCACTAATCCCTGAAAGCAAAATACCTTCATCTTCCTTTCCCTGCACAGCAGGTTCATTTTTAGAGGAGCTAGAGCAATCTTGTGGTGTTTCTTTTGATACCTGTTTAGTGGCGACCAGCCCAGATTGAAGAGCACTGTTGACACCTTTTTCCTGTGCACTTTCACAACTCCTTGAAGATGGAGTATCAAAGGAGATTTCACTTTCACACACAGTATTTACTCCCCCGTGTTTATGACAATCTTTGCTGCTACACAGATAACCAGTGCAAAGCTTAGGTTGCTCTACCTTTGCTTTTGAAGCACTTGTTGCTAAACCGCACTTTTTCAAGTCACGTGGCTTCACCGGCTGTGATACTTTTGAGGGCCACTCAATTTTCTTTATCTTGTTTGTCAAACTTGTGAGTCTATGTAAATCTACTTGAAGCTTTGAAGAGGAACTGGGAGACATACTGCTTTCCTTCACATCTGAGCTGTAAACATGTTCTGGAGAACCAATGTGACTTTGAGTAGCCAGACGCACTGGTGTTATGGGTCCTGCTTCACATTTGTTTTCCAACTCTCCAGCTCTTCCGAAATCTGAACACTGGGCATTTGGATTAAAGCACTGATTATCCATATCACATTTCCTTGCCACAAGATCATCGTCCCTATTTTCCTGAACTTTCCCACATACTTTTGTTGAGTTCTGTGGGTAGATGTATTCCTGAGTTGTGAAGTCATTAACTTCCTTTTTAATATTCATGAAAAGGCCTTCTGTGGATGTCCAAGATCTTGAACTTTTAGATGCATCTCTACATTCCTCTTCGCAGGCACTCTTTCTTCTAGGGAAAGGATTCTCTTGACAATCATCATCTCTGCCTTCCTTGGCTATGGCAGCAAATGGTGAACTAAAGTCACCTCTGCCACGTGCACTCATCTTGCATCCATCACCATGCGCATTCTTCTCCTGCTTTACAGAAATGGTAGGCAAAGTTGTAGAGTTTGCATTGTTTCCTACAGGCGCAGAGGTATTCAATGCCCTGCCCTTTATACTTCTTATAACTTGCTTCAAACACATTTGCAATTCATGGGTTTCCTGGATGTTCAGCTGCCAACCTAAAGATAGATTTCCTCGTAAAAGAAGATTGAGTTTGTCTAGGTATTGCTTGCAAAGAGAATGCTGCCCAATTTGATAGCCTTCTCGAAGAAGGCTGCGTATCAACTGCACACAGGCATGCTGCACAGAGTTAGAAGCTTGCAAAGATACTGCTGATGAACCTCTCCCACAGTGCCCAGATGCTTTTTCAGTGCACCGTGTAAATGCTATAGCTGGAAGCTTAGCACATCTCACCACTGCTTCCACCCATTCTTGGGAGCTAATCCATAGCAAGTGCAGGCACTTTTTATTTCTGTGTAGTTCAATAATGGACACCAAGATCAGGAGAAAAAATTCAGAGATTTTGTCACACTGCTGGATTCTTTCATTGACAATATCTTTGATTTCCGAGCAGAGGTAGTGAATGACCTCTACTATATATGCTACACCCAAGTCCTTGAGATCCATAAGTGACTGAACAAAAGGGATGAACCACAGAAACGTGCTGTGATGGACACGCATATCTCTGCCAAGATCAGACTGAAGCACATTAGCCAGTGTTTGCATATCTTCATACATGTTGGGACAGTAATCTGGACAAATGGCAGTCTTCCATCCAGTGTCCTGAAAAATAAATTCACCACACATCATCCTCATCATGCACATATGCAGTTCAATCTGCCACACTTTCTTCTAGCCACCAAGGTTACTTCCTGTCAAATCTGTGTTGATTAAATTACAGCATCTCTTTTATCCTAATGTAAGTCAAAATCTAATTTTAAAAAAATGCAAAAAATAAAGATCAAACTAATACACGCATAAGGAACTAATTTCCTAAAACATAACCTATGAAGTAAGCGTAAAGTAGTACTTCCTTTAAAGATCACTGTGAAACCCTCCAAACATGTTGTTATGCAGACATAATTTAACCTCAGACAATCAAATATACATTTAAGGCCTTTAAAAAAAATGTCATAAATACAACGCACCAATATCAAGAGAACACATTCACAAATGTTTCTTCTGCTTTATGACAAGAAAAAAAAAAAAATCAGTGCCATTTTGGAGCACGGTCTAACATTTGAAAGTACATCAATGCAATTATTCCACACTCAATGTATTAGTTTACAATACTCAGAAACAAAAAGTGAAACACAAGAATGCAATCAGCAACTTTTAAATTGAATCCAGAGTTTTCATTGAAGTACCAATGTTTCTTTCAACCTTGATACAAACACTTGGGCTTTAATACCATCTCTACCTAATTCACAAAAACATTCTTCTTTCCTCTTACAGCCTGGAAGTACCAGGCAAACAAGCAGTGACCAGACTGGCTGCTATTTAAAGCTCACAAGTGACATGTGGTATTGAATATTTTTTCTTTACAACATTACTAGCAGAAGTAGAGCATCTTCCCCTCTGTATTTTATAGATGGTTTAAACTGAGAGTGTCATTCAGTGATCAGCATTCAAAGAACAGGGAAATAAAACATTTTTTAATACCTTTTGAGGCTTCTCTGTGTTATAATTATAGACAATCTGACTGCAGGTAACCATGTCATCATCGTAGTCTGACTCTGGTTCAGATTTCGTCCTAAAAGGAAATACAAATCATTATAGACTCCACAAAACTAACTTAAACTATAAGAAAGCCAACTAGCCAAGACACAGATTTCACTTGTCATATACTGACTGTGTAATTATTAGAATTTGTCAGTGAGAAAACATAGCTATGAAAAATATTATATTTAAAATTGTAGAGCTTGTTCTATCCTGCTCGTAAGTGGAGGAGAAGCCACTGTTTCTACTAAGCCACGGATCTGGCTACCTAGAACAAACATCCAGAAGAATTCCATTATCTTTGAATTTTCTATGAATAAATGCATCTCAATCATGGGTACTTATTCATAAACTTTGTATGCAGCTATTTGAACATAACACTCAAATAGCTTGCCTAACTGAAGAAAATCTCCTTTAATATGCCTTCCTCAGCTATCTGTAACATTCCACATATATATGTATCTAGCTATCTACAACATTATACACTGTGTATGTATAAGAATATTGAACATTTAAGACATTGTCACTCAAAGTTGATTAAAAATATACCACAGGAAAACAGTAAACAACTGGTATGGTAATCCAGGTACTATTTTCCACCAACTTTTTAAAATTAGATACAGTTTCAGTTTTCAAAAATAGCAGGTATTCCTAAAGCCTGGGGACCTGGATTCTTATAAAAATTCTTAAAAAGGATGCCAAAAGATGGAGTTCAAGTTTACGTAACAAAATTCTGTTCCTATAGAAGCTATTTATAGACTTCCTAGCAGCATACTAACCAACCACTTCTGTGCTGAACAAGCCCTTGACCTAATTAACTTTCTGTTCAATACTGATAAGATTGTCAAATCAAAAGTGATTCAAAAGCTCCTTTTTCACCTTAGGATATAAGTATATGAAGACAAACCCTTTCAAAAGACTATCTGATGCCTGTTACATGTTTTCATGATGTTATCCAAGCTACTAAAGGCCAGTTCCATGATTCTCACTTTACTACCTCCCCTGAAAGGAATACATCCAGAAAAGGAATAAAACTTTTAAGAACATACAGTACCATTAAGTAAATCTAATTTTGAGAAATATTTAAGACTTCACATGAGCTGAAAGTAAACTCAAATCAGTTGTCATCTGGACCTACAATAAAATCTAAAACTCTGTCATCCACTGAAAATTCTGGAATTCCTATAATTTTACAAAGAGTCTCAGACATGGCTGGCAACCTTCATTAAGTTGGTTATAGCCCTAAAATAAGCACTAAACTATTAGCAGCCTTTCTGACTCAGAAAAAAGTCCTGAAAAGTGTAATAGATACCATAGTAGTCAAAAAGAAGTGAGCATATCTTTTTTTTTTTTTTAAAGAACCTCACAATTTTAGGGGACCTATTTCATCTTTTCATTGTTTGAAGTCAGTAACATCTGATTTTTATTTACTTGTCATCTCCCTCCCCCAACACAAATTAAGCACCACTGACAAAAAAACCCCAAGATCAAGCTACTATGCTACCTGGTATTAAAATCATAGAACTGTTCTAGTCTCTTAATAAAACTGACCTCTTAAAGCTACTGCGTATATTGTTTATTTCATTGTTGTAGCTCACACTGTTGATAATGGTTTGAAAGGCTTGGACAGGATCAATAAGCTGACCCCATACTTTAGATCCGAGCTGATCCAAAATAACCATGAAACAATGCAGCGCTGGCCAGAAGGGGTCAGTAGAATCATCTGAAACATAACAGCAATATTGGGGAGAGTTGAAATGCAAGAGTCCTGTATGTTCTTAGACTAAGCTGAAGTTGAAAGTAGCTGGTTTTCATTTATAAGACTAAAGATTCTAGTAAGTTGCAACTATACTTTTTAACCCAGACAAAGGATGAAAAAAAAAAAGTCAACCTCACTTATCCGTACAGACACTGCTCCTTATGCAGTCTTAAATCAACAGGAACCTGGATAACTATTACTAATATTTCCCAACTCTATGAAACTGATTCTTCCGCACTGATTTTTGCAGTGCTGTTCTAAGAAGCGGGTATAACTTACAGGGCTATGACAATTAATACTTCAAATTTAAGCTAGAAGCAATTGGTTTTCCTTCAAGCGTTTTCTTCCTTCTTCATATCGTATCCTCAATACACATATTAAGCTTATAAAAATCTAGTCATTTAAGAGGCAGCCCTGGTCTTGAGCTCATGTGCCATTCCCAACTATGCTATAGCATGTGGCCTACAAGAATGGCCCATGAGCTACTAGTCTAAATTCTGAAGTTGAATTTCCGAGCTGCAAAAGGGGTTCCCTCAAACAGATGGGCAGAAGAGGCAAATTCTAAGCAAGTTGCAGCAATTCAGAAGGCGTTTCTTCATTCTAGGACTCAAAATTCAAGCTTCGTGCCACAGTGAAACAGCCATTCCCATACAACTTGTACATTAAATGAAAACAAGATGGTAGAAATTACAGATTTGTCCTCTCAAAACCTCTACACCAGCCTTACACAAAGCACTGCCATTCCTGTTCTACTGAAGAGTTTGTTTGAATGTCATTTTTCAGTATTTGTCAGTATTGCCCAAATATTATGCAATATTGGCCATCTTCCAGAAGATAAGTAAACCTCAGTTAAAATCACCTCAGCATTATAGTATTAATAATTTACTCAATTAAACAAGGAAGTTCGATAAACATGAGAAATAGGCTATGAACTGTCTTTATCTCAGTATCAAAATTAGTTACCAGATGCTTCTTTCTCCATGGTGTGAAGTATAGACTGCATGAAATCATTTTGTTTGTCTGGGCCCAGTAACAAGGAGTCCATAGCTTGTTCTTCCAGCACTGTTAGTAACATACAAATCCCTACCAAAAAAAAAAAAAAAAAAGGCAACCCATCCATATATTTGCAAAAATTTGTTCTAATTTTCACCAAATCAAGGATCATTTTCCAAATGCCATTACCAGTGTAACACTTGACCAAGGAGACTGGTAGCAGTGTGAAACTAATTAAACACCACCCCACTACTGTAGTTGGGCAAGGTTCAATTTTCCCATATGACATGCCCCCAGATAAACAGCACCTATGAAATAGTAGAGCTCTGACTTGAAAGAAGTGCTTGCAAGATGAGAGAGACAACATGTACAAATTCACTTCTGATTATAAATACTCACCTAGCCAATAGTTCTTGTAGTTGGTAGTATCATATAAATGAGATGGCAGAAGGATGAGTTTACCCTCTTCAATCATTGAAGAGCTGTAAATATCTGGACTCTCAAAAAGCCCCAACTCAATAACTTTGAACAAGCAAGTCAGCACTTCCTGTAAGTCATAGTAATCATCCCTGTCAACCTTCCCTAAATTTCTTGCTGTTAGGATGGCCCATCGACGAATCTAAGGATTAAAACAAAAAGATTACTTATCAATAAAAATGTCATGGTTTAACCCCAGCCAGCAACTGAGCACCACGCAGCCATTTGCTCACTGCCCCTCGGCGAGATGGGGGTGAGAATCAGAAGAGTAAAAGTGAGAAAACTCGTCGGTTGAGATAAACACATTTTAATAGGTAAAGCAAAAGCAGCGCACTCAAGTAAAGCAAAACAAGGAATTCATTCACTACTTCCCTTTGGCAGGCAGGTGTTCAGCCATCTCCAAGAAAGCAGGGCTCCATCACAAGTAATGGTTACTTGGGAAGACAAACACCGTAACTCTGAACGTCCCCCCCCGTTCCGCCTTCTTCCCCCAGCTTTATATACTGTGCATGACATCATATGGTACGGAATATCCCTTTGGGCAGTTGGGGTGGCCCCTCCCAACTTCTTGCGCATCCCCAGCCTACTCACTGGTGGGGCGGTAGGAGGAGCAGAAAAGGACTTGACCCTGTGTAAGCACTGCTCAACAGTAACTAAAACATCCTGATATTATCAATGCTGTTTTCAGCATAAATCCAAAACATAGCCCCATACTAGCTACTGTGAAGAAAATGAACTCTACCCCAGCCAAAATCAGCACAAAAAAGAACAAATAAAATCACAACACTGTAAGATTAGGAATCACTGCTACTACAAATGGGACAAAAATATATTTTTACTAAAGGTCTCATAATTGTAAGTAAGAGTTAGTCTTTTTCAAAATAACCTTAGAAACAGGCTTACTATACCTATGAGACGATGTAGGTGACAAAGAAGTTGAAATTCAGGGTAATAGATACAAATAAAACTGTGACAAAGGGATAGCGTTTATTTTTGTACTTGCTTTATATTGTTTAAACATTATTGACCAATATTTACCACTTAGATAACTGTATACTATAACAACAGATGTTAAGATGTGCTGCCAGCACAGAACACTTGTCATTTCTTGCTTTGATGGAATCATTCTCCAACCTGCTGAGAAAACTTCAAGAGTTCCAGCAAGTATGAAGTACTACACTATTAAATCTTTCACTGTTTCTTAGGACAACTTGAAATTTTGTACTCCACATCGGTGTTTGAGTAAGCCAGCCTTGGAAACGGTACAGTCACAACCTGGCCTCCAACCACCGCAAATGTAACCTGACTCTCCAAAGCTGCGTCAAATGAGGTAGTAAAACAATGGTATGAACTCACACTCTCCCAATACAAACAAATAGCCCACTTGAGTTACAACTCAATGCTCCCTTCAGTTGCACGTCCAAATTCAATTTACAGATAAACACACCACACAGGGACGTTTCTATGACCATGCAATCAAAGTACTCCATCTCCCTTCACTATTAACAGGAACCACCTTCTTGCTGAACACATCATCTTCAGAACAATGTAGTTAAAAGTAGGCACTCAGACATGTTCATACTGCTTTGTGAATGCCAGGTCTTTGTTGTAATCTCTCAAATCCTTTTAATCAGCAAAAAAGTAAGTGTTGGCAATGACCGCAATTGCAAACCCTCTCAACCTAGACACTTCCAGTATTCCAAAATTTCTCCTTTTGTTCCTTTCTTAAGAGATTGGATTCAAAACGAGAGAAGTCTCTGCTATGTACACTAGCATGAGTGATACTCAGATCAGCTGACACTTCTAAATATCATAAAGAATGGAGCTCTCCTGTTTACACTTTTTGACCTGACTGTTCAATATTAAAATATCCTGTATGCACTAAGACACAGGCAAATAAAGAAAAACTGCATAATTTTGAGTTGTTCCACCACAGAATACACTAATCCATTAAAACACAATACTGCCTCCTTGTAATGACAAAATTCAGTGACAATTAAAGGGCATTTCAAAGAAAGTCCACTGCTGAGCATCTCTTCTTGCAAGTAACCACACTATTCTCACTTTTTCAATTTTTAAGGTTCTGAATATTACTAAAATATGAAAGCTTCTAGGGATGGAGAAAGAACAGGGAAGGAGAAGGAGATTAATACACTAAGTTACAAACCCTGGCCCAATTGAGAAGAATTCCATTTGGGAGTATAGGGTGTAAATTTACAGTATGGTTGAACATCTGTAACTTCTGCTGAGTAAATGCAAACAGTAAAGTGATTCTAGAAGTTTTGCAATAAGAAGAGTCTTCTCTCCTTCAGCAAGAGTAACTATATTTCTACTGAAATCTCCTTTATATATATATATACATATATACACAGCACAGACACTGTTAAAGAAAAATACCGAAAATCAAACACTTAAAATTCTGAACACTACTATTTTCATATTCTCATCATTAAAAATAAGAATCTGTTCTGATTCTATTTAAAACCAAGTTTTAGTGGAAGAGAAAAAGTAACTTACCACTTCATTTGGGTGTACCAAAAAAACATAAATTCCTGGATACTTCTCAAAGACCTGAAAGGAGCTGTGACTTTGTTCCATTCTACAGAGCACTTCTACACACAGCTCACCTAAAAGGACACACACAGTTATAGTAAGGACTAATTTATATGCTTACAAAGCAAAATAAAATATTTAGTATCAAAATAAATATAAAATATATATACATACACACACAGCTACTTCTGTTTAACTACTACTTGTTATTTTCACCTTCTTTAGTAGAAATGATATCATGCCCTTCCCACCTGTATACAGTAAGATACATACTGACTTTCTCATGCAGCAGCAGATATGGGTATTTCAGTATTTCTAGAAGGGGCACTCGCAGGTTATTCTCAAAATCTGGGCCCACATAACCAGACAGCTGTGTCTCTCCATTCTCATCCACTATAAACAACTCATCGTCTTCTCCAGCTTCTTCTTCCATGAATTTCTCAATGTGTGCAACAAGACGGGAAGTTTCCAACTCCCACAAGACCTATTCAGTGAGGAAAAAGAACTAAACAAAGTGCATTTGTGAAGAAAGCGATGAAGGACATTTATTATCACATGCAGAAACCTTGACTAGGCTTTCAAAACTTACGATTTCATTTTGAAAAGTTCATTTCCAAGCACAGTGTGAAACAAAGTTTTGACATGGCATTCAGATTGTGCAAATCACAAAACTCTCACTTCAGAGCTAAAATTATAAAGTAATTTTTAAGAGAGTGGCATTGAAACCCGAAGCATTTTTATAATTCTGTTAAATACTCAAAAACCGTTTCAGTAATTATTTCAGGCCATAGCTTAGTCACAAAACTTTGTTCCACTGGCCAATATAAAGAAGTGCATGATACAAAAAAATGACTGTATTTAGGAAGATGGGTAAAGCAATTTTAAAATCTTGCCTTCTCGCAGATTTTGCAATGTATTAGGGGAAGGGAGCAAATGTAAACAACGCAATCAGACTGACTGACTTGCTGAATGTTTGTTGAGGATTTGGCTTGCTTAACATTCCTCATCTAAAGTAACTGCTCCAAACCTCAATTAGAAACCAGCATTATTTCCTACAGTTAATAGACACAGAAAGGAACTTTCAGCAGACCAGTAACTCCACTTATTTCCAACCTATACGCAGATGGGATTACCCTCCAGAGAAATCTAGCTGACTAATTTAAAGAACGACCTTTCAGACATTTGTATTATGATCAGTTAGCTAAAAATATTCTTTTATATACATATACGGGAAAATAGGCTTTCCAAAACAAAATTTGACACTGATGAGGGAGAACTATAAAAGCCTTATTATAAAGATAATGGTTTTAAACATTTTTTATTGGTTTTAATCACAAAAATCTCACAGGCTTGCAAAATCAGATTTCTGAAATTCAAGCATAATAGAAAACTACCAATGAAAAACGAAAGCAAATAAAAAGAGGAACAAACGCAAAGCTGAACAGAAGCCAGAGGAAGAAAACACATTAAAGAAAGAGAGCTGTTAGTTTGGCAGGTGGTTTTTTTTCCAGATATCAGACTATCACAGAATGAATAAAGTTCAAACTATAATGTCTAGTCAGCAACTTCCCACTACTGTTTTAGTTCTCACTAATTCGAACATATGCAAAACAAGAGGGTCCTCTTGTTTTATGATGGCTCTTCGCAACTCAATATAAAGAAAAGCAGCTAGTTAAAAAGCAACATACCCTATTCCCCAAAGCCAACAGAACACAACCCCTGCACAAAACTCCCCCCTACACTGAGGCTGGACCACAGAAGCCTCTTCTGAAGTTTTCCTTCATTTCTGCGTCCTCCCGCTCAGTAATGAGCGGAGCCACATCTCTTAATTACCTTATGCAAGCTTGGCACATTTTCCCTTGCTTTGTGGTATTCAACCACACACTCCAGACAGTAACAGAGATCATCATTGGATCCTTCAAGATCTTCCTGGGACAACCGTTTAGAAGCATAGCTCTTCAGGAACTCAGTGGTGTCAGAACCACTAGGTGTACACCATCGACATGTGCTCATTCTTTGGATGGAAAGAAGGAATTAACGTAAGTCCAAAGACTGGAAACAGCAAAATATTTTCTTTCAGCCACAACAGTACCTAATTTTAAAGTGTGATGAGTTTCAGGATTTATGTAACTTATTAGCAGTGTATGCACATATGTTCTTGAACGTTCTTGTATCACAGAGGTACATGCAATTAAATAAATAAATACAGATTAAAGCATTAAACACTACAGAAAAATGCCTGTTGAACGACAAATATTAAAAGTAAACCACCAAAAAGAAGTCAATTACATAGTTTACAAACCATGACACTACATGTAAAAATTCACTTTACATACCAAGAAAAACCCCTCGTCCACACTTAACACACACTTTTCAGAACTACAATGCTGAAGTTCGTTATGTTGTTTTACTGATATCTGTGGAATCTAGGCCTAATGAGTACAAAATTTAATTAATTTTTTTCTTAATCTCATACTAAAATTTATAGGTCAACAAATCCCTGTTGTCAAACGCAAAGGATATTTAGAACTTTCCTGTCTTCATTATTATGATAGTTAGAAAGCATCATAAAATTCTCACCACAGATTGCTTCCTCTAAAAACAAAAGTTCTTCACTAAGCAGCAATACAGTCATCTCAGATCCTGCTAGTCTGAAAAACTCAACAGAATACTGGACAAGCATGAACACTTGAACTAACTACATAAAAGGAACGATGGTAATTGCTTCTGTCATTTAGTGTAACAAGGAATGCAAAAGGAAAGTCTAGACAAAGCAAAACTATACATTTGCTCGTGCATACGTGCTAGGAAAAAAACAATTGTGGCGCTTACCTTTGGAAAAGGAAGCTCTTTGCTGTGCAGGTATGGCAGGTCACATGGTGGGACAGGGAACAGCGCTGCCCTGCAACGAGGGAAGGCGGCCGAGACCTTCAGCCATAGGTGCCCTGGAGTACACCACAACAAGGCAGTATCTTCAACAACCCATCCCCTGGTAACCGAGTCTTGATGGTATTTCAAAGATCTGGAGCAAAACAGTAATCATCAGAAATCCGTTCAGTTCACACGCTATAGATTAAGAATTGCTTTGGTATTTAAGTCAACATACTTTATATTAAACACATGTTTACTAAAGCGGTAAGTATGACTTGCAAATGAATCCCTTCCGTCATTCAAATGCGCACAATACAGCACCTATCGCACCTGCTTCTAACAAGAGGTGCAAAAATATCTACCTACGCGCATTAAGGCAATTCCGTAAACAAGCACGCACGGATACACGAACCTCAGCTGCGAAAAGCGCCCTTTACCTGCACTGCTCCGCTTCCGACACGCTTTAACGCTGCTCACTGATGAGTACCGACACCCGCCCACGGAAACGCCTCAGCCGAGAGGCGGCGCAGGCAGCTTCTGCTTCCCGTTACTCGTTCCCCGCTCCGCCGCCCCGGAGCCACCCGGGCACCCACCAACAGCTCCTCCGCGAGCACCCCGGGGGGGGCCCCGCGTGGTCCCACCGAGCCCCGAGGCGGAGAACGCGTC